CATTAAGCATTTTGATAGCATTACAGTTAGGCCCATTCTTTTATTTTCATTTTGTTTATTTTTACATCACATTTGAAATACAATGTGTGTTTTGCTTAAAGTTGAATAGTTTGACCAATCGATTTGCATCTGGAATGCAACACCTGACACGTACCTTTAAAGTAACAAAAAGTTAGGGTCTAGACTATCTTCATAATATACTTTTGAGGGGGGTTGCTCTGGTCCATAACACCCATCCAGTAGTGAATAGTGATAGACAAGTAAACAACTCACTGAGGGAGGAGGCTGCACATATACCCATTGTCAATGATGCAAGAGTCCAGTTCATCAGTGCAAAAGACAAGACAGGAGCACTAACAGCAATCTTCATCCAGAAGTGCAGAGTGCATGATTCATCTCAGCCTCCTCCAGAGGTGTCCCCCAGCATCACACATGTCAGTTTTCAGCTAATTCGATTCACTCCATGTGATATCGAGAAACAGTTGGAGGCTCTGGACACTGCAAAGGCTGCAGGCACTGACAGTATTTCAGTAATAGTACTGAAGACTTGTGCTCCAGAACATGCTGCATTGCCAAGCCAAGCTGTTCCGGTACATAGAACATAGAACTGTACAGTACAGGAATGAGTCCTTTTGGCCCATGATGTTGTGCTGAACATGCCAAATTAAACTAATCCCTTCTGCCTGCCCATGAGCCATATCCTTCTATTCCTTGCATATTCATGTGTTTATCTAACTGTCTGTTAACTGCCCCTATTGAATCTGTCTCCACCATCACCCTGGCAGTGCTTCCACACTCCTACCACTCTCTGTATTTTAAAAAAAACTTGCCCCTCACATCTCCTTTGAACTTCCTCCCTCTCACCTTAAATACATGCCCCCTTGTTTTAGACATTTCAACTCTGGGAAAAAGATTCTGACTGTCAACCCTATCTGTGCATCTCATAATTTTACACACTTCTATCAAGTGTCCCCTCAGCCTCTGCTGCTCCAGAGGAAAAACAACCTGAGGTTTTCTAGCCGCTCCTTATACATCATACCGTGTAATCCAGGCAGCAGCCTGGTGAACCTGTTCTGCATCCTCTCCAAAACCTCCACATCCTTCCTGTAATGTGGCAATCAGAATTGAATGCTTTAAATGCAGTCTAATCAAAGTCTTGTAAAGCTGCTATGATAGCCTGACTCTTACATTCAGTTCCCTGACCAATAAAGGCAAGCATGCTATATACCTTCTTTATCACCCCATCTACTTGCGTGGCTACTTCCAGGGAGCTATCAACTTGAATCCCAAGATCCCTCTGTACATCAAGGCTGTTCAGACTCCTGCCTTTAGCTGTATACTTTTCCTTAACATTTGATCTCCCAAAATGCAGCACCTCACACTTACCTGGATTAAACTCCATCTGCCATTTCTCTGCCTATATCTGCAAGTGATTCCGCTGTATCCTTTGATAACCTTCTACACTACCCACAACTCCACTGATCTTTGTATCATATGCAAAATTACTAACCCACTGTTCTACATTTTAAACAATAAAGGTCCCTGTACGGATCCCTGCACAGCACCACTAGTCACAGACCTCGGCCTGAAAAACACCCTTCCACCACGATCCTCTGCCTTCTATGGGCAAATCATTTCTGAATCCATGCGGCCAAGTCACTGTGGATCCTTTGCATCTTAATCTTCTGGATGAGCCTACCATGAGGGACCCTGTCAAAAGCTTTACTAAAATTCATGTAGACAACATCTGCTGCTCTACCCTCATCGATCATCTTTGTCATCTCCTCAAAAAATTCAGTCAAGTTAGTAAGACATGACCTGTCCCCCACAAAGCCATGCTGACTGCCCCTAATTAGGCCATGCTTTTCCAAATGTGTGTAAATCCTATTTCTAAGAATTCTCATCAAATAGCTTCCCAACCATCAATGTGAGACTTATCAGTCTATAGTTTCCTGGATTATCCCTATTTCCCTTATTGTGTAGGGGAACAACATTAGCTACTCGCCAGTCCACCAGGACCTATCCTGTGGCTGATGAGGAAACAAAGATCTTGGTACAGTTATAACACTGGCATCTACCTGGTAGTGTTGAAAATTGCCCAGTTCGGTGCTATACCCAAAAGGAGGAGAAAGCCAACCCGGCCAATTACCACCCCATCAATCTTTCAATCATCAGTGAAGTGATGGAAGGTGTCATCGACAGTGCTATCAAGCAGCCTCTGCTTAGCAATAACCTGTTCAGTGATGCCCAGTTTGGTTTTCACCAGGGCCAGTCAGCTCCTGATCTCATTACAGCCTTGGCTCAAGCATAGACCAAAAAGCTGAATTCCAGAGGTGGGGTGAGAGTTACAACCCTCAACATCAAGGCCAAATTTGACCAAGTATGGCATCAGGGAGTCGTAGCAAAACTGAAATCAATGTGCATCAGGGGGAGATCTCTCCACTGGTTGGAGTCATACGTGGCACATAAGATGGTTGTGGATGTTGGAGGTCAGCCATTTCACCTCCAAGTAATCTCGACAAGAGTTCTTCAGGGTAGTGTCCCAGGCCCAACCATCTTCAGCTTTATCAATGATTTCCCTCCATCATCAGGTTAGAAGTGGGGATTTTGGTCATGATTGGTACTGAACATTGTACATTCGTGACTCCTCAGATACTGAAGCAGTTCATGTTCAAATGCAGCAAGACCTGGACAATATCTAGACTTGGATGAGTGGCAAGTAACATTTGCTCAACGCAAATGCCAGGCAATTATCATCTCAAATAAGAGAGAATCTAACCACGACCTGGCATTTAATTGTACTACCATCACTGACTCCTCCACCATTGACATCCTGGGCACTGGACTCACCATATAAATACAGTGGCTACAAGAGCAGGTCAGAGGATAGGAATATTGCAGTGAGTAAATTACCTCCTGACTCCCCAAATCCTGTCCGTGAGGTGCTGTGTTTTGGAAAGGCAAATCAAGGCAGGACTTATATGCTTAATTGTAAAGTCCTGGGAGTGTTGCTAAACAAAGTGACTTTGGAGTGCAGGTTCATAGTTCCTTGAAAGTGGAGTCACAGGTAGATAGGATAGTGCTGAAGGCATTTGGAATGCTTGCCTTTATTCGTTAGTGCATTGTGTGTAGGAGTTGGGATGTCATGTTGCGGCTGTACAGGACATTGGTTAGGCCACTTTTGCAATACTGCATTCAATCTGGTCTCCTTGTTGGAGGGAAAATGTTGTGAAATTTGAAAGGGTTCAGAATAGATTTACAAGGACATTGCCAGGTTTGGAGAGTTTGAACTATAAGGAGAGACTGAATAGGCTGGGGATGTTTTCTCTGGAGCATCGAAGGCTGAGGGGTGACCTTATAGAGGTTGATAAAATCATGAGGGGATGGATAGGGTGACTAGTCAACGTCTTTTCCCCAGGGTAGGAGAGTCCAAAACATAGAGAGCATAGGTTTAAGGTGAGAGGGGAAAAATTTAAAAGGGAACTAAGGGGCAACTTTTTCATGCAGAGGGTGGTGCGTGTATGGAATGAGCTGCCAGAGGAAGTGGTGGAGGCTGGTACAATTACAACATTTAAAAGGCTTCTGGACGGGTACATGAATAGGAAGGGTTTAGAGGAGTATGGGCAGATGCTGGCAAACTGCACGAGATTAATTTAAGATATCTGTTCAGCATGGTCAGGTTGGACCAAAGGGTCTGTTTCTATGCTGTACAACTGTAAGACTGTATCTACTGGGCACAATTCAGGCGTATGATCGAGTATTCCCTCCTTGCCTGGATTCGCGCAACTCCAACAACACTCAAGAAGCTTGACGCCATTCAGGACAAAGCAGCCTGCATGACACCGCATTCACAGCATCCACTCCCTCCACCATTGATGCTCATTAGCAGCAGTGTGTCTCACTGCAGAAATTCACCAAAGATCCTTAGACAGCACCCTACAAATCCATGACTACTTCCTTGACGAAGGACAATGGCAGGAGATACGTGGGGACATCACCAGCTGTAGGTAGCCCTCCAAACCACTCACCACCCTGACTTCGAAATACATTGCAGTTCCTTCAGTGTCGCTGGGTCAACATTCTGGAATTCCCTCCCTAAGGGCATTGTGGGTCTACCTACAGCACATGGACTGCAGCGGTTCAAGAAGGCAGTTTACCACCACCTTCTCAAAGCCCACTAGGGACAGGCAATAAATACTGGCCCAGCCAGTGACGACCATGTCACGTGAATGAATAAATAAAATTACAAGTATCTGGGAGGAGTTGATAATGGTGTTGAACATTTGAATAATTCAATAATTGTAAGCTAAGTTTTGATCTGATTGTTCTCACAATATAGGGTGCATTTGGCATCGAGGAAATATGGAATAAAGAGCTAAGTTGAGTTAAAATACAGATCAGTCATGATCTAAATGAATGGTGGGGACATATTTGAGGGGTTGAATAATCCACTCTAGTTCCTAAGCTGGTGAACATTGGCAAATTCACTCATCCAGTGGCAAAGAGAAAGGGACAGCAGAATCTGCTAAGGGAATTCCTGATGGTGGTGACCCCAGGGGCAATAAACAGTTTAAAACTCCAACAACAGGCAGATTAGAAAAATGATTGATGTAATGGGCTATTAGAATCTACAATAAATAATTATATTGCAGTGTAATCTCTGTATTTCAGAGGAATGAATTAATAATTGCATTAAATATTAAAGGGCTTCAGGGAAAGAGCAGCAAATTGGTCGAGTGGTAGATTATATACTAAGTTCATTGTGATCTGTATTAGGCTCCTGTATTTGTTCTCTGATTCTATTTACCCAATCTGTTCTGTGCATGTTTTATGAACAATTCTGAGACCTCCATATTCCAAACAGGAGTGAATTATTTCCTTTTACCTCTTAAGTGCTGACATTGGGAGGAACACATGATGCATAAGACTTGATAAGATTTAATATTTAGAAAAAGTTTTCTGAACTATACCCGATTTAATCTGGTTTCTTTCATGTTTAGTTTGTTTCTCAGTGTGAGGGGAACTGCCCGTTTATCATCACTCACTTCCATGAATGGCTGGCTGGTGTTGGTTTGATTATGTGCAGAATCCGCAAGATCCCTGTAGCTACAATCTTTACGACACATGCTACGTTATTGGGACGTTATATCTGTGCTGGAAATGTCGACTTCTACAACAACCTTGCCTACGTGCGTAATAACCTTCCTAGTTTATTCAGTTAGAGACAACCTCAGACTTTATGGGTGCAATTAAAAAATTGAAAAGGAGTTCGGAGTACAGTGAGAGCCATGTATAGTCAGTACCTGTGAGACAAGTGGACATGTCGTTTTAGATTTAGTAATCTACCAATAGTGCTAGATCAGTTCTCAGTATAAATAGATATTTGTTAGCGATAACAATTGTATGATATAATGCAACAATGGGTATATGGAGCTAGATTATTGTCAGCAATGATCTAATTAAATGGTAGACCAGGTGGAAGGGCTAAACGCCCCATTCCTATTCCTGTGCTCCTATAGAGCATGGATATTTATCTAATGGTGATCATAATGTGATTGAATTCAATGTTGAGTTTAACAGGAAGCTATGCTGGCAGGCAATGTGGATAATACCTATGGTATTATTACTGGACTATCAATCCAGAAACACAGATAATGTTCTGGGGACCCAGGTTCGAATCCTGCCACAGCAGACGGTGGAATTTGAATTCAATAAAAATCTGGAATTAAGAATCTGATGTTGACCGTGAATCCCTTGCCGATTGTTGGAAAAACCCCCCATTAGGGATGGGCTATAAATGCTGCCTTGTCAGCGACGCCCTCGTCCCGTAAATGAATAAAGGATGTGCCATAGCTCAATTCTAGATTAAAGTAAAGCTGACTTTAATGGCTTGAAACTAAGACTGCCTGTAGGGAACTGAACAGATCTGTTAATGGGTGTATTGTAGAACATCTGTGGGAAGTGTTCAACATATTTAATATAGTACAGAAACAGTTTAAACCCTTAAGAAACAAGAATTCTACTTGATAAAAAAAAACCCGCTATGGATGGCTAAAGAGCTAACAGAGAACAGATAGGTGAGTAGAGCTTTAAAAATACAAAAAGAAATTCTGACAAATTGTAAAGATCCAAAAAGCAACAGAGTGACAAAGTGGACCAGATGTTTTTGTAAGAAATATGAAACGGGAATACAGAAAGAAAATTGAGTTTCAAAATTAACATAGAAACCTTTCATAATGATACAAAAAGGTTGTTGAGGGATATTATAGATCCTGCGAGAATTGATAATGCTGACATGGAAATGGTTGACATTTTTAAAGATAATTTTAAATCAAATTTAAGCAGAGGACGAGTAGAACTTATTGAAAATTTCCGGGACAGATATTCATCAATATTAACATTTGCAAAGTAGCGGGTATGAGGAAAGTTATGGTATCCAACTGTGACAATTCCTTCAGGATCAGATGATTTCCTGCCTTGGTCTTTTTTTATACCAGAGTAAAGTTAAAAGCATTACTAATGTCCAAGTACTTAAAAGGTCTTTTGATTCAGGGATGATGACCTCGGATTGGAAAAATGCACTTTAGCTTTGAAAGGTTGGGGAAACCAGAAAATTATGGACGAGTTAATTTAACATCTGTTGTCAGGATATTACTTATAGACTTGGATGAAGATAGGCTGACTGGACACATCTTAAATTTTCAACTGGTCGCAGAGAACCAGCATGAATTTCTAAAGATATGTCACGCCTGATGAATCAAATTGAATTTGTTGAAGAGGTGACTAAAGTAGTGGGCAGACCGTTGTCTTTCTGGGTGTTATTTCTTTGCACATCCAGAGGCATTCGATATCATCCTTCGAAGTACACAATTAGCTAAAAGGTGAAGCTGTAGAATTTAAAGGAGATTATTTCAGAGTTTAGGAAATTGGCTGAGCATTAGAAGACAGCAGGGATAATGAGCATTCTCAGTAGAAAATATAAGTTATGGACCCTCAACTAATGATTATAATTAATGGTTTAGATGATAGATATTTAGATAATTGGATATACATGACTCCAGTTTCTCTAGGCATCCAGCATTCCCTACACCTACCAGCCTTGCCCTTCACACTGGTAGGAAATTATTATCTCTGAAGTCTTTTTATTTCGTTCTTAAAGCTTCTCACCCCCAACCGTCCCTTTACTTGCGAGTAGCCTCCCCGAACAAATTTTGATAGTTCCTGTCTAATACAGTCAAAATTAGCCTTTGTCCAATTTAGAACTTTAACTTTTTGATCAGTTCTGTCTTTTTCCATAACTATTTTAAAACTCATAGAATTATGATCACTTGCCCCAAAGTGCTCCCCCACTGACACCTCAGTCACTTGGCCTGCCTTATTTCCGAACAGAAGGTCAGGTATTGCTCCTTCTGTAGTAGGTACATCCACATAAGTTTTTGGAGGGAATTCTGAGGGATGGGATTTACATGTATTTGGAAAAGCAAGGAGTGATGAGTGATGGTCAAGATCACTGTGTATAGGAAATCATGTTTCCCTGACTTGATTGAGTATTTTGAAGAGGGTGACAAAGCAGATTGATGATGGCAGAGTGGTAGACATTGTCCACATCGACTTCAAGTGTTTGATAAAGTTCTGCATGGTAGACAAGTTTAGTGAGGTTAGATCACATAGGATCCGGGGGGACTAGCCAATTGGGTACAAAATTGGCTTGAAGGTAGGAGACAGGGTGGTGGTGGAGGGTTGTTTTGGGACTTGAGGCCTGTGACCAGTGGTGTGTCACAAGAATTGGTGCTGGGTCCACTGCTTTTTGTTAATTATATAAATGATTTAGATGTGAATATAGGAGGTATGGTTAGTAAGTTTGCAGATGACACCAAAATAGGTGGTGGAGTGGACAGTGAAGATGATTATCTCAGGGTCCAACCGGACCTTGATTAGATGGGCCAGCCAGCTGAGGAGTGACAGATAAAGTTCAATTTAGATAAATGTGAGGTGTTGCATTTTTGATAAGGCAAACCAGGTGTTCTGCAGAAAGCTATTGATTTCTGCCTTGTACCTGCTCAATGATTAAAATCCCACAGCCTTCTGGGGTAGAAAATTCCAAAGGTTCACCATCCTTTGAATTAAGAAATTCCTCTTAATCTCAGTCTGAAATAACTTCACCTTTGTACTGAGATTAGTTCCCCTGGTTCTAAAGTTACCAGCCAAGGGAAACATTCTTTTTACATCCACAGTGTAAAGTCCCGTAAGAATTTTGTAAGTTTCAGTGAGATGATAATATAATTCACTTGTTGGTTATGTTTACTTCATCACTAGCAAATCTTGAAAAATTTATTTCGCATTCTCTTGTTGATACTGAAGCAAGCTATTCTGCTTTTCAGTGTGAACCTTGAAGAACTTCAGGGTGTGGGATGTTCATGTTTTTCAAGGAACTCACTGGTGTTCACTTTTTGGGCATTAGTGCATGATGGAATGCATGTGATGGTGACACTGGTGATCTTTCTTTCAGTTTGATGTAGATCGTGAGGCGGGAGAGAGGCAGATCTACCATCGATACTGTATGGAGCGTGCTGCTGTTCATTGTACCCATGTCTTCACAACTGTGTCGGAAATCACAGCAGTGGAAGCAGAACACCTACTCAAATGCAAACCTCGTGAGTGAAACTTAATTAGGAAAACTTCTAATGAGTCTTTGAATGATCAAAATTGCAGGCTGTCCTATTGCAGTGTAATACAATAACCCTTTTGTTAACTTGTGTGAATTCCTCTGGTAGTAACTGTCCATCTGCTACAGGAAAACCTTAACCAAAGTCACAACTATTTTCTGCATGACTGTGTAGTGCCCTATCACCCCTTACCTTTGACACACCTAATCATCCTCTTCCTATGCTATTCCCCCAGTGCACAGATCCATTAGATTGTCTTGGTTTTACAGTTACCTGTGAGATATGGAGAAGCCATGAGATTGGTTCCCTGAGTGCAGGTTGGCTCCTGTACCCAATAACCTGTAGATTTAAAGCTGTAAATTCAGGAAGAGTAACAGAATTATGACGGTCCATCACAGCATTGCTTATAGTAGAAGTTATTCTCTTAATTATTCCTTAGAGTTCCTGCCTTTTAATAATCAGTTCCATTTTCTTCAATAGATATGGTGACTCCAAATGGACTGAATTTGAAGAAGTTCTCTGCAATGCATGAGTTTCAGAATTTACACTCAAAGAGCAAGATGCGAATTCAGGAGTTTGTCAGAGGCCATTTCTACGGGTAAGACAAGGAGTTTCTTTAGTCAGATTGACCTACTGTTCTTGACACAAAGCAATAGTATGCCTGCTAATGCCAGTGAGGGATATGGCAGGAATTTAATCACATTATTTTGCTCCAACTACATAATCCTGTAAGAATTTGCTGTTTTGTATTGACTTAAATTTGTGAACCGATGTGATTGTTCAAATATATTGTTAATGTGCTGATTATATTCTAATAATTGATTATGTGAAAACTTCGAACCTCACTAGGCTTTGAATATTGACTTGGGTTTTATGCCACTGCTTAATTAATCTCCAAATTTTTACTCTGTCAAATACCTTTGTAATTTTTAAAAACTTCAGTTATGTCACCATACCTTTTCTTGTGTCCTCATGGTCATAATTGCACTCTTTTATCCCTGATATTGGCTGGGTGAACTTATTCCCCCCTCGCTCATTGCTGTAATATTCTTGCTGTATTGTGTGGCCAATATTATATGAAGATGGATTCCAGGGATGTAAAGCAGGCTTAAAATTCAAATGGGAGTAGTTGTAAAAATTAAGCAGAGACATTGATCCAGAGAAGAGAATTAAAATAAGCAGCATCAGGAGTGGCACATGGATTGCATAATGCACAAGCTTTCAGTCTAAGACTTAATTAAGACTAAATCTTAAGACAGTTCTGAAGAAGAGTCTTACAACACTTAAAATATTAACTCTGTTTCTCTCTCCACAGACACTGCTAGACCTGCTAGGTTTCTCCAGCACTTTCTGTTTTTATTTAAAGTTTGTCTTTCTTGACATCTATCACTCAGCTTTGACTTTTCTCATTGTCCAATTTGAAATTCATCTATCGCTCTTGGGATAGGTCATCTCCTTTCACACCTTTTGATTCTATTGAAAAGCATTTTGAGATGTAAAGAAGGACTGTCCTGCTTGCGCTAATTCATCTTTATATTTTCAGAGCTGCTTATTTGATTCTTAATTTTAAAACATAGCGTAATAACTTGCCCAGCACAGGGCTGTTCTTATCCTGGTATTAAACTTAAACATTTCTGATCTTGATTCTTCCTAGTCATTTGGATTTTGACCTGGATAAAACCATCTATTTCTTCATTGCTGGGCGATACGAATTTACCAACAAAGGCGCAGATTTATTCTTGGAAGCATTAGCCCGTCTCAATTATCTGCTCCGGGTAATTTCTTTGTTTTCATGTTTTAAAAGTTAGATTCTGACTGTATTATTCTGCTACGGTTTGGAGAAGGAAGAGACTCTTGTCGCCAGTTATGGTTTGTGGTTCACACTGTCCTTTAATTTTTCTTTTAGAAAGTTTTGTTCTTGAAGGTAATTTAATGGTATATGTAGAGGTTGCCTGTTAATAAGATGCTGAATTGTACAGAGCAGGAGAGTCCATAGTTGGTTTATGTGTGCACATTGACCTGCAAACTTACTGACTATGCCTTCTATATTCACATCCAAATCATTTATATAAATGACAAAAGGCAGTAGACCCAGCATCGATCCATGCAGCACAACGCTGCTCACAGGCCTCCAGTCTGAAAAGCAACCCTGTGCCACCACCCTCTTTCTCCTACCTTGAAGCCAATTTTGTGCCCAATTGGCTAGCTCCCCTTGGATCCCATACTAACCTTATTAACCTTGTCTACCATGCAGAACCTTGTCTACCATGCAGAACCTTGTC